AATTTTGCGCCGATGACGCCTCCACCCCCAAAGAGAAAACCCTAGCATCCCTCTTTTTTAGCTACTTTTAAGTCTTTTAGTTAACCAAGAAGTGATAGTAGCAATAAGTCTCAAATTGTGTTCTTCCTCCGGTGAGTTTCGAAAGAGTCGAAACGGTTCCCATAAGTTTTGAAGTCAAGAGTAGTGCCTGCAACTTATAAGAAGATCAAACTATTAGATTTAGCTCAAATTTTAATATGATATGGATAAGAGGATACCAAACAACTTTCATGAAGAAACAGTTTCGATTTGAGCTACTGAAAAAGGAGTTTCGGTACTCATAAGATGGCTGTCCAGTTTTCTACTGAATTGGAAACTGGGTTGGTGTTTTAGACATATGCGATGATCATACCGTTGGAATTTTCTGAAAATTTTATATGCTATAGGAACTGGGTGGACGAACAACTTTCAAGAAGAAAGTATTTCAATCCGAGGTCAACAAGTTGGAGTTCAGAGGCTGTTTACATGGCTGTCAAGTTTTCTACGGATTTTGAGTCTGTACCCTTTTGCTTTATGCAAAAGATGATATACAGTCATACAACAAGATATATAGTTGCTTCAAGAAAATCAATAGTACAGAGATTTTGAAGATGAAATGAAAAGATTTTCTTATCTATGAGATTCCAGGTCACAGAGGTAAAAGGTAGGTAATGCTTCACTAGATTTGTGGCGTTGTACTTTCCACTGGCACAAGAGCTTCTCGTACTGATAACGTGTTGTAAAATTAGCAATATGTGTGTAGTGGAATAAATGAAATAAGCCACAATATTTACGAGTTTCCTCTACAGTCAGTGTGACTGAAGTATGTCCTCGGGGCAACAGTTGTGCTTTCATTTATAATCTGAAATAATAGGAGTATAAAAGTAACTCTCTCTCTCTCCTCCTATCTCTTCCTCCTCTCTTCTTTCTCTCTTTCCATTCCTCCATAATTTCATCTCTTTCTTTCCTCTTCCTTTTGTATGTTGTTTTTCTTTCTTCATTTGCTCCTTTAGTTTATAGGCAAAGCTTGAATGTTAGACAAAGTTTAATGGGATGAGTTTGTCTAACGGGATGAGTTGTAGTGTGGTAGTGGAATGAGTTGTAGAGTGGTAGTGGGATGAGTGACCATCCACATTAAATGACTTTTAATAGTATGGTAATTTTATTGAAGTTTTTCAATTTTCTTTTGGTACATGCAGACAGTAATGCTCGAGGTTTAATAATTAGCACCAGTTTCAATAATTAGATAGTAATTAGCATATAATTATGATTAATTAAGTTCACTAGTAAAATTCTTTTAAGCTTGGTATCCATTGGGTAATGTCTTGGGGGGCGGGTAGGGAAGTAAGCTATATGCTGAATTAAGTTGGGCTTCCAGGCTTTAGTCGTGGCAAAATCTTGAGGAATTGGTGCTACTACAATATATTTACCTTGCCAAATTGTGCATAATATGATCAATCGTGCGTAACATTATCATTCACTCCTTGACTAGAAGCAAGAACGGAAAATTTGGTCAAACCATAAAAAATCGCCTCAATTTTGCGCCGATGACGCCTCCACCCCCAAAGAGAAAACCCTAGCATCCCTCTTTTTTAGCTACTTTTAAGTCTTTTAGTTAACCAAGAAGTGATAGTAGCAATAAGTCTCAAATTGTGTTCTTCCTCCGGTGAGTTTCGAAAGAGTCGAAACGGTTCCCATAAGTTTTGAAGTCAAGAGTAGTGCCTGCAACTTATAAGAAGATCAAACTATTAGATTTAGCTCAAATTTTAATATGATATGGATAAGAGGATACCAAACAACTTTCATGAAGAAACAGTTTCGATTTGAGCTACTGAAAAAGGAGTTTCGGTACTCATAAGATGGCTGTCCAGTTTTCTACTGAATTGGAAACTGGGTTGGTGTTTTAGACATATGCGATGATCATACCGTTGGAATTTTCTGAAAATTTTATATGCTATAGGAACTGGGTGGACGAACAACTTTCAAGAAGAAAGTATTTCAATCCGAGGTCAACAAGTTGGAGTTCAGAGGCTGTTTACATGGCTGTCAAGTTTTCTACGGATTTTGAGTCTGTACCCTTTTGCTTTATGCAAAGGATGATATACAGTCATACAACAAGACATATAGTTGCTTCAAGAAAATCAATAGTACAGAGATTTTGAAGATGAAATGAAAAGATTTTCTTATCTATGAGATTCCAGGTCACAGAGGTAAAAGGTAGGTAATGCTTCACTAGATTTGTGGCGTTGTACTTTCCACTGGCACAAGAGCTTCTCGTACTGATAACGTGTTGTAAAATTAGCAATATGTGTGTAGTGGAATAAATGAAATAAGCCACAATATTTACGAGTTTCCTCTACAGTCAGTGTGACTGAAGTATGTCCTCGGGGCAACAGTGGTGCTTTCATTTATAATCTGAAATAATAGGAGTATAAAAGTAACTCTCTCTCTCTCCTCCTATCTCTTCCTCCTCTCTTCTTTCTCTCTTTCCATTCCTCCATAATTTCATCTCTTTCTTTCCTTTTCCTTTTGTATGTTGTTTTTCTTTCTTCATTTGCTCCTTTAGTTTATAGGCAAAGCTTGAATGTTAGACAAAGTTTAATGGGATGAGTTTGTCTAACGGGATGAGTTGTAGTGTGGTAGTGGAATGAGTTGTAGAGTGGTAGTGGGATGAGTGACCATCCACATTAAATGACTTTTAATAGTATGGTAATTTTATTGAAGTTTTTCAATTTTCTTTTGGTACATGCAGACAGTAATGCTCGAGGTTTAATAATTAGCACCAGTTTCAATAATTAGATAGTAATTAGCATATAATTATGATTAATTAAGTTCACTAGTAAAATAAGCTTGGTATCCATTGGGTAATGTCTTGTTTTGGTTTGTGTTGGGGGGGGGGGGCGGGTAGGGAAGTAAGCTATATGCTGAATTAAGTTGGGCTTCTAGGCTTTAGTCGTGGCAAAATCTTGAGGAATTGGTGCTACTACAATATATTTACCTTGCCAAATTGTGCATAATATGATCAATCGTGCGTAACATTATCATTCACTGCTTGACTAGAAGCAAGAACGGAAAATTTGGTCAAACCATAAAAAATCGCCTCAATTTTGCGCCAATGACGCCTCCACCCCCAAAGAGAAAACCCTAGCATCCCTCTTTTTTAGCTACTTTTAAGTCTTTTAGTTAACCAAGAAGTGATAGTAGCAATAAGTCTCAAATTGTGTTCTTCCTCCGGTGAGTTTCAAAAGAGTCGAAACGGTTCCCATAAGTTTTGAAGTCAAGAGTAGTGCCTGCAACTTATAAGAAGATCAAACCATTAGATTTAGCTCAAATTTTAATATGATATGGATAAGAGGATACCAAACAACTTTCATGAAGAAACAGTTTCGATTTGAGCTACTGAAAAAGGAGTTTCGGTACTCATAAGATGGCTGTCCAGTTTTCTAGTAAGTTGGAAACTGGGTTGGTGTTTTAGACATATGCGATGATCATACCGTTGGAATTTTCTGAAAATTTTATATGCTATAGGAACTGGGTGGACGAACAACTTTCAAGAAGAAAGTATTTCAATCCGAGGTCAACAAGTTGGAGTTCAGAGGCTGTTTACATGGCTGTCAAGTTTTCTACGGATTTTGAGTCTGTACCCTTTTGCTTTATGCAAAGGATGATATACAGTCATACAACAAGATATATAGTTGCTTCAAGAAAATCAATAGTACAGAGATTTTGAAGATGAAATGAAAAGATTTTCTTATCTATGAGATTCCAGGTCACAGAGGTAAAAGGTAGGTAGTGCTTCACTAGATTTGTGGCGTTGTACTTTCCACTGGCACAAGAGCTTCTCGTACTGATAACGTGTTGTAAAATTAGCAATATGTGTGTAGTGGAATAAATGAAATAAGCCACAATATTTACGAGTTTCCTCTACAGTCAGTGTGACTGAAGTATGTCCTCGGGGCAACAGTTGTGCTTTCATTTATAATCTGAAATAATAGGAGTATAAAAGTAACTCTCTCTCTCCTCCTATCTCTTCCTCCTCTCTTCTTTCTCTCTTTCCATTCCTCCATAATTTCATCTCTTTCTTTCCTCTTCCTTTTGTATGTTGTTTTTCTTTCTTCATTTGCTCCTTTATTTTATAGGCAAAGCTTGAATGTTAGACAAAGTTTAATGGGATGAGTTTGTCTAACGGGATGAGTTGTAGTGTGGTAGTGGAATGAGTTGTAGAGTGGTAGTGGGATGAGTGACCATCCACATTAAATGACTTTTAATAGTATGGTAATTTTATTGAAGTTTTTCAATTTTCTTTTGGTACATGCAGACAGTAATGCTCGAGGTTTAATAATTAGCACCAGTTTCAATAATTAGATAGTAATTAGCATATAATTATGATTAATTAAGTTCACCAGTAAAATTCTTTTAAGCTTGGTATCCATTGGGTAATGTCTTGGGGGGCGGGTAGGGAAGTAAGCTATATGCTGAATTAAGTTGGGCTTCCAGGCTTTTCGTGGCAAAATCTTGAGGAATTGGTGCTACTACAATATATTTACCTTGCCAAATTGTGCATAATATGATCAATCGTGCGTAACATGACGACTAGTCTTAATGATACGATTATTAACACAGTGATTGGTCTTGCATTGAAGATTTACCTTCAAAATATATTTCCATGAGCAACTTGATATACTTTTAGTGGTTGTAGGCTTGATCAAGTTAGAGATTAGCCAACCTTGTAATGCAAAGATCATTTTTTTTTTTTGGGTCAAATAATGCAAGGATCAATTTATCGTAATTGAATTGTAATTCTCTTTTCAAGATGATGAGAAGTTTTTTTAGTGTGATACATATCGTACTATATCTAAAAGTTAAGAGAAATTAATTAAGTTTTATTTTAGCCACGTGTCAACAGACATTCAACGATTAGGCAAGTGAAGCCGAGGCTCCGCATCCTAAATAGTTTTAGTTTCCCGCAAATCCCAAATCGGCAAATTCCCAATCGCTCGCGGCAACATCCCATCCAAACTCTCGTCGTTTACCACCGAAAAATCTCAACTTTCTCCCTCCCTCACCCCCCCCCCCCCCTTTTTCTCTCTCTCTCTCTAGGGTTTTTGGGTACAATTCGACATGGCCGGCGCTGGGATCCACCCACACCACCAGCAATGGCCTCCCGCAGCTGCCGCTCCTCATCCGCCTCCTCCGGCTGTCGGCTCCATCGCTCCTCCTCCTCACCACCTCGTCGACAACCCAAACCGAGCCGTTACCGAAGAGGTCCGCACCATATTCATCACTGGTCTTCCAGAGGATGTGAAGGAGAGAGAGATACAGAACCTCCTGAGATGGCTGCCGGGATACGAGGCCTCGCAGGTCAACAACAAAGGCGAGAAGCCTATGAGTTTCGCTCTCTTTTCCACTGCTCAGGAAGCCATTGCTGCCAAAGACGCCCTTCAGGTTAGCTTTGAATAATTTCTTACTGTTTAATTTTGATTTTTAAGTTTTATGTTGAAATTTTGAGCTTTTGTTGGAATTTGGGGTTTAGGGTATGATTTTCGATTCGGAGTCGAAGGCGGTGCTGCACACGGAGTTGGCGAAGAAGAATCTTTTTGTTAAAAGAGGTGAGGATGGTGATCAAATTTGTTTTTGTTTTGAATTTGAATCGAGAGTTTTAGTGTTTTCGGTATGTTCGTAGAGTATTACCTACATTGTGGAGAAATCAGTGTCTTTGGTTTAAAGTTTCAATTTCGTTAGCGGGATACGAGGAAATTTCTTGTTTTCGGGAATGTGCAAATATCGGCTCTGTTGCTTATGTTTGTCATACCACACTACGTTGGTTTGAATTGTAATATCAATGTTTTTTGGTTAGCTAGAGAGTTTGATTGAATATTTTGTGACTCACTAATATGAGTTGGAAACTGTAGGAATTGTAGCTGATACATGGTGCTTATGATCAAAGTAAACGATTGCGAACTTGTGGTGACTACTCACAGGCTGGTTATAGTAGTCCATCTCCTTTTCATCCTCCTCCTCCACCTGTTTGGGGGCCACATGGGTAATCAAACTTTGCTCATCTAATTTCGAAATAAAATTTAGTTGTTTCTGCTGTTCAGTAGAGCATATGTTTCCCCTTCTGTATATATCACTTTTTCTCATGTGAGTGTTGCTTGTGTGGCCCAGGTATATGGCTCCACCACCTCCTACGTATGATCCATATGGTGGTTATCCTGTTCCTCCAATACCAATGCACCCTCCTCCTGTACCAGCACCAGCACCAAGTAGTTATGTACCTGTTCTGGTAATCCACTATGCTTCCTGTGCGTAAAATGTTGGGTAAAAAGTTTGCATTTGCTAATTGATGAGTTCGCATGAACCTTTAGACTGATTCACAAATTTCCTTTTTTCCTTGGATTGGGATGTGTGTGTGTGGGGTGGGGAGTTGAGATACTGATATTCATCAAGAGATATAGCTTGTCTAGCTATTACTTCGTCAAACAACCCCCGTGCCCCTTCTTCTCTTGTTTAGATAAATGAAGACATCATATATTGAAGAAAAAAACCATAAGTGTAGCTGTAAAATGATACCAAACTAAATAAGCAGATTACCTTGGTTATTCATTTTTACTTATTCTGCTCACAGTTCAAAGAATTTTTTCTTCCGTGGATGTAGCTTTTTTGTTTGTGTTCCCCACTATCTTTCTTCCTGTTTGTTGTACATTTGTTGTTTCGTAGTGCCCAAATTCTATGTAAATGTTGGTTGTTCATGATGCAGGAAGCCTATAATTTGTTCTTTTTTACAATGGTTCTTGTTTCCTGCAGAACACTAAAGATAACCCACCATGCAATACCTTATTTATTGGAAATCTGGGAGAGAGCATTAATGAGGAAGAATTGAGGGGCCTTTTCAGCTCGTATGAATGTCTCTCATCCCTTATCTTAGGATTTGTTTCTTCTCTATGTTTCATAAGAAAGATGTCATGCTAAACATGAATTTTTGGTAATGCAGACAACCTGGATTTAAGCAAATGAAGGTCCTAAGACAAGAAAGGCATACTGTTTGTTTCATTGAGTTTGAAGTAAGTAATATTTATTTCGTAGTTATGCGCTGCTCATTGACGTTTTCATGTTGGGATGCCCTTTTCTCTATTTTCTAAATGGATTTTCTGTATAATCCATGCAGGATGTGAACAGTGCCACCAATGTACACCAGGCTTTGCAGGGTGCTGTTATCCCCAGTTCTGGTTCTGTAGGCATGAGAATACAATATCCTTTTGGAATTTTTCTGTATGGCTGATATTTAGTTTGTTGTTTATACAACTTAATATTATTGAACCATAAATAATCATAGGTTAAAATTTGTGCTAAATAACTTTTAAATATATATTCTGAATTTTTAATCCACCTCACCACAATTATATACGTCGCTTGTGACTTGTTTATGTTTCTTTTGTGATTGGCAATATATGTTTTTCCTTGACTATAAATACATATTCGAAGAACCCATTTGGGAGAAGGAAGGATGGAAACCACCCTGGTGCTGTCCCTACTGCTAATGGAGCTCCGCCGGCTATGACATACCAGTAGCTTGAAAGGGGATGTACTCTGTTCCTTATGCTACAGAAACACAACCACATGATAGGATGCATCTTGCAGCTGTTGCATGCATCCATTTCATAGTCACGTCATCAGCATTAGCATCTCTCCTCCTGTGAATGAATGCACATAGTGGCATCATGAACATACCATTTGGCCATGTTAGAACGTGTTTGTGACATGCATTTTCAGCAGTATGTGTTAATGCCTGGATATTAGGGGCTCAAATATTGTTATCATCTTATACCGTATTTGTGACATGCATATTTCAGCAGTATATCTGTTAATGCAATATTAGGGGCAGTAATATGGTTATCATCTGTAGGGTGGTGCATGGGGCTGCAGATTTGTTAGATTGGAGTGTTTTTTTGCTTTATATTAAATTGTTGCACGTTGAAATTAGGAAGGTGTCCACATAGACATCTAGCCACTTTTACATCTTTTTTGTTTACATAGGTTTTGAGATTCAATTATCTTAACCAATCATCTGAAGGTGTTCCTCAGTTCTGTTTCATGGCATAACTTTCATTCGGATGTGGATACTTAGGAAAACATGCCATTAATTGTCATGTTTTCCTTTCCATCACCTTTGTCATTTCCATTCCCACGACATTCTAATAACTTAGACTAACCATAAGTCATCGTTTAAGCGAGGAGTTAGACATGCAGTTTTACCATTCAAGATGTTCGAAGCATGGCTTTTCAGTAAGACGTTGGGTATTATATATGCTGTGTGGTTTATATACAGGATTTTCCAATACAAAATGAGAATGCACTATACATTTGAGGAGGTCTGGTGTCTGCAGCTGCTCGTTTGTTTCAGGTAATGTTCACTTCACTAGGCAAAGGTTACTGTCGGTCACCACTTATTGAGGTTTTTAACATCCAGCATGAAGTTTTCTTGTGCCTCGGGTTAAGCTGTCTTGAGATTAGTAGGTATCTTGACATTTATCGATGAGGGGAAACACATTTTGCACATTACAAGTTTGAAGCAAATATGATCGAACTATGCGTTGGTCCTTGAGTGCCATTGATTACTTATAAGTGAAATGAGTTATAAGTTGTGAAGACTTGATGGAAATTTCCATTGAGAGGAAAAGAAGAAAGAATATTCTTTTGCTCCCAATTTTAGAATGGATTGACCGAAAGCATGGACCGAGGGACAAGGATTGTCTGCCCTCCCATGCCCTCTTGTTTGTGTGGTCACGGTTAAGCCATGTCAACATTTTATATTACTATTCATTTTTGTCTTAGTATCTTTATAAAAAATACAATATAAAATGTTGACGTGGTTTAACCGTGACCACACAAAACAGTAGGGCACGGGAGGGCACTGGAAGTAGGAGAGCAGACAATCCTTGTCCCCGACGGAGATCTATAGCCGTCAGAGTTTTAACTAAGAATCTAGTGACTAAAGATTTAACGGTCTTGGATCCTGGTCCATGCTATCGGCTGGTCCTGCATGTGTTTGTTAGATGTGCACAAGAAAGAGTAGATGCCTTTATTTTAAGTGACTTTTTTCTTTTGGAAAAATCAAAGTTGAATTGATCGGTTCGTATTGCTTTTTCTCAGTCCAAAATTTTTTCCCGACCAAGAAGGGAGATTACGAATATTTAATGGGAAAACAAACATTTTATCATTGAAGACTTGGGTATCAACGTCGATAAAACTCTAATTAGAAATTGCTTTGACTGTAAAACTGGGTCGCATTCCGTGCGATACAACTTTGCCCCATTTGCTTTCATAGAAATCTCGTAGAAAGTTGGAACACCTAATTTCATTTCACCATTTGTCGGTTTGTAGTGAGCATTACCATCGCATCAACTGCTTTTGAATGAGTGTGATTTAATCTGTTATACAAATCTTGAAATATAGTCATCCAACGACAATTTATGCGGTGATAATGCTTACCATTCTTGATGCAGCGGGGACCAAATATTTTCCCTATTCCAACAAGGACGAAAACGATATTGTTCCAAAATCATATGAGGGAAGAATTCATCACATGCTTTATTGGTACGCCCTTCTTTCTATTTGTCCTATTATGTATCACAATGAAAAGTTTCAACTTTTCTTCTTTTATTTATTTTTCATATAAGACCTGAATAACATCATAATTCATAAATAAAAAAACATTATAAACTCAATATATAAGAAGAAAAACCAAACCCAAACTATTTAGTAACAAATGAATTTCCCAAACTCAGAATTAAGAGCATGACGAGTGGACAAATAAAGGCCTGATCTCCCATTAAAGTTTTAAACTCTTCAAGTGTTTTTTCTGTAAAATTTATCATTAACAAGGTGTTTTTTTTCCTTCTAGTTTACTATTTATTATTTTAAAATGCTATTTTTATCATTTATTTGTACTATCTAATATAGATGGAATTCACATGTGTTGACGAGATATGCTTTATTAGAGAAGTAGTACAGATAATGGTCCAAATAAACGATAAATGTTGCTGATTCTTTACTATTTCATTGCCAAAATGCCGAATTACCAACCCACACACCAGCTTTTACACTTATTTACAGGGAACTTTAACGAAAAGTTTCCAGTACAATTTATTTTAACAAAAAATTATATTTTTATACTAAAAAATTAATCTTGATACTATTTATTTTACTCTTTATTTTATCGTTATCGTTAAAATTCAAAGTTTTCAAATTTTTTTCATTAGTTTTTTTTTTTATCTATATTTTTGACAAATAAAATGTATTTATTTTGGAGAAAGTCAGAAGTCACAGGTTGACAAAAAGGGGAAGGGGTAGATGTCACAGAATTGAGTGGTAAGTAAGTAGGGCCTCCCTCCCTTCCTGTCGTTGTTTCACAGTATTGACGTGGCTGTGTGCTCTCAGTTAATATAAATATGAACTCCACGCGTGGACACGACGGGGTCCACTTCCAGTCGCAACTTCCATGCCTTCTATTCACATTGCGTAATGTCATCTCTGGATTCTCTGCTTAAAGATTGCCCTTTGCAAAAAAAAAAAAAAAAAAAAAAAAAAAGAGTATTTTCAAAGAAGACGTAAAAATCTTTGATGAAATGTTATTGTGTATATTTGACGTATGAAAAATCTATTCAATTGAAGTGTTATTTGCTGACTTGAATTTGAAGACTTTATAATTTAGAGTTAAAATTGACATCAGTATCAAATTTATTTTTAATTTTCATTGTAATGGTAAGTCATTTGTTCGACTAACATTTCGATAAATAAAAATTTTGTGTCAATATTTTTTTAGTAATTACAATCATTTCAAGTTTTATTTAAATAATAAAATAACATTTGACAAATTTGTCATCAATTGTAATTTGACTCTTATAATTTGACATTTTTTTTAGAGCTAGTCTAACGTTAAATTGTCATTTGACACCTTAGTTATTTTTTTTGTCGATTTTTACTATTTGAAATTATCAAATTACCTCTCACTATTGGATCGGATTTGATAAAATTTCATTCACCTTACGTCAGTACTGGCACAATTTTATCCACAAGAGTGAATCACGTGCTGATCACGTACTATTATTTAATTGCAAAGTGGATGGAGCTTGATCGAATCTGATGGTGGGGAGTAAATTAGCTAATTTTAAATAGTTCAAGGTAATTACTAGGACAATAGTTTAAGGGGTCGAATGACAGTTTATTCAGTAAAGAAGTGATTAAATATGTCATATACAACACATTAATATTAGACTGTATATGATACACTGTAATCGTATTTTGTTCTATTATGTGTAAATTTTTAACGTATATAAATGACAATTAATTTAAGAATTATAATGAAAAGAGTTTTTTTTTATTAATTTTATCTTTTATTATTTTCAATTTCAATGTTGACTTCTGTCCTTATGATTAAATATTTTTGTTAAGTGTCTTTCGATGAATTAAAAACTAATAAAGTCTTTTTTATTATTTAACGAGGACATAACCAATTATCAAATCACAAAATTGTAAAATTGTGTGCTTACATCCAAGGCATGCGAATGTCGTGTTGTCAATGTTTATTCCTCTGCCTTGTAACAACAGGGAACGGGGAATTGAGACATGGTTGGTAAAATATTAAAAAAAAAAAAAATTGTCAATTCTCAGTTTCAACCAACTTTAAATAGAATAAAAACTCATATATTTAGCAATTTTCTTCAATAGTAGGTAATGGACGACTAACATCGAACGCTAAGTAATTAAAGTAATTCTTTTTCGGGACTGTTATTAGTATTTCAAAATTTCATTTTGCATTCTAAATTTTTTATAATTAGAAAATAAAAATACACTTGTGAGGAGTGTAGAATGAGATTTTTAGAGTACTAATAACAATTCTCTTAAAAGTTGTGGTCAAAAAGTGGAAGCCATTCTTCCTCGCAGGTATGGTGTGTGTGAAAACACCCACTGATTTCATCACATAATTTCCACTTTAGAGTATCTATCTTTATGTTTTGTTCACACCCAGAAACACACAATTTGAATTTTTTTATGACTTTTTTGGTTGTTAAATAACACACACATAAACACAAGAAAGAGTCTTTATCTTTTATCGGTTCTGTCTTCTGTTAGAGTATGAAACATGACTCAAAGTCCACAGAATGTCTTCAAAACGTGGATCTGACCAGATGACAGAGTCATATCAACTCTGGTATTATTATTATTATTTTTGGAAACCATCAACTCTGTTATTTAAACGTCAACCGACATACCAAATAGCCAACACAATCCTTTCTCTCCTCTGTTTCTCTCTTAACAATTTTCTACTTAGTTTCCAACTCATTTCAAACTTATTCAAAAGGCCAATTGAGTCTACTTATCTACATGCTGCTGGGTTTTCCTGTGCAAGCTTAAACCAGCTAGCTTACCACCAAAGTCCCAACACAATTCTCTCTCTCTCTCTCTCTCTCTCTCTCTCTCTCTCTCTCTCTCTCTTCAAACCACTCAGTTTCCAACTCATTCAAATGCAAAGGAAAGCTGAATCTGCATGCAGTAGCTAAAGCTCAAATCTTTACCAAGTAATTTTCTTTTTCTTCAACTAATTATATACCAAAGTATGAAGCTTTACCCTTTCAATTTCTTCTTCTTCTTCTTCTTGTTATTCTGCTTCTCTGTGCCCATACCTATTGTATCTAGTTTGAGCTCTGATGGGGTGGCGCTGTTGTCCCTCCTCAAGTACTGGACTGTAATCCCATCCCCCATATCCTCCACCTGGAATGCCTCTGATTCCAATCCATGCCAATGGGTTGGAATCCAATGTGATAAATCCGACAATGTGGTTGCCTTAAACCTCACTGGGTTTGGAATTTCTGGCCAACTGGGCCTCAAGTTGGCAGCTTTAGGTATCTGCAGACTCTTGCTCTGGGTTCCAATAGTTTTTCTGGCAAAATCCCAGTTGGGTTGGCCAACTGTAGTTTACTTGAGTACTTGGACTTATCAGAAAATCGATTTTCTGGTGAAATCCCTGAACCCTTGTTTTCGATTTCCAGCTTGGTTTATATATATCTGTATAGGAATAGTTTGAATGGTTCCATCCCTGCAAATGTTGGGAATTTGAGTAAATTGGAGGAGTTGTATTTGGATGACAACCATTTGAGTGGAGCCCTGCCTAAGAGTCTGAACAATCTTGGGAACCTAGTGTATCTTCAAGTTAGTGGTAATCGTCTCGACGGTAGGATTGATTTGGGTTCTGGGGATTGCAAGAATTTGATTTTCTTGGATTTGTCACGCAATCAGTTTAGTGGAGGTCTTCCATCAAGTCTGGGAAATTGTAGTAATTTAACAGAGTTTGGTGCTGTGAATAGCAACTTAACGGGGACTATCCCGTCTTCCTTTGGCCAACTAGAGAAGCTTGAACTTCTGCGCCTTCCTGAGAACCGTTTGTCTGGGAAAATACCTCCCGAACTTGGTAAATGCAAGTCCTTAACAGGACTACATTTGTATACAAACCAACTTGAGGGAGAAATTCCTAGTGAATTGGGGACGCTGAAATTGCAGGATCTTGAATTGTTTGAGAACAGGTTAACTGGTGAAATCCCAGTTAGCATTTGGAAGATTCAGAGTCTTCAGCAAATCCTTGTGTACAATAATAACCTCACCGGGGAGCTGCCTGTAGAGATGACTGAGCTGAAGCAACTGCAGAATATTTCGTTGTTTAACAACCTCTTTTCTGGAGTTATACCTCAAGGTCTGGGGATTAACAGCAGTTTAGTGCAGTTAGATTTTCTGAATAATAACTTCACTGGTACAATCCCTCCAAATCTTTGCCATGGAAAGAGGTTAAGGGTGTTGACTTTGGCGTCCAATCGACTTCAAGGTTCCATACCTTCTGATGTTGGAAACTGCTCTACACTTTGGAGGTTGAAGCTTGAACAGAATAACCTGACCGGAGCTCTCCCGGAATTTGCAAAAAATCCAAACCTCAATTATATGGACATCAGCAGCAATGAGATAAGTGGAGCAATTCCATCAAGCTTGCAAAACTGTGGCAACCTCACAACCATCAATTTGTCCATGAATAGGTTAACTGGACCTATACCGCAGGAGCTGGGGAAGCTTGCAGAGCTACGTACTTTGGTTCTTTTCCAGAACAATTTGATTGGTTCTCTGCCTCCTCAACTATCGAATTGTACCAAAATGGATAAGTTCGATGTGCGGTCCAATTTGTTGAATGGCTCCATTCCGTCAAGTCTGAGAAGTTGGACAGTTTTATCAACACTGATTTTAAGCGACAACAGCTTTACTGGCGGCATCCCAACTTTCTTGTCAGAGTTCGAAAAGCTTTCAGAGCTACAACTTGGTGGAAATCTATTCGGAGGTGTGATTCCATCAGCAATTGGAACATTGCAGAGTATGTTTTATGCATTAAATCTTAGCAACAATGCATTGACAGGTCTGATTCCTTCAGAGCTAGGGAAACTGATAAGGCTCCAACGACTAGATCTTTCTCGTAACAATTTGACAGGGACTTTAAAAGTTCTCGGCGATATGAGTTCACTAACTGAGGTTAACGTTTCAGACAACAACTTCACAGGTCCAGTACCAGAGACATTGATGAACCTGTTGAGCTCATCCCCAGTGTCATTTTTGGGCAATCCCTACATATGTGTCAATTACCTTCCATCATGTGGCTCAATGTGCGCAGGAAAGAACAGTTTTAAATCTTGCAACAGTCCACCAAGCAACCAGAAAGGCCTTAGTAAAGTGCAAATTGCATTTATAGCTCTAGGATCTTCGATGTTTGTTGTTTTTGTGCTTTATGGGCTGATTTATCTGTTCCTCTTGCGCAAAAAGACCAAGCATGACTTTGAGATCTCTGCTCTAGGGGGGCCATCTGCCTTGCTCAACACGGTACTCGAGGCTACAGAAAACCTAAATGATCACTATATCATTGGGAGAGGAGCCCATGGAACAGTCTATAAGGCCTCTTTGGCTCCAGACAAAGATTATGCAGTCAAGAAGCTTCAATTTGCAGGGCACGAAGGAAGGCGTTTGAGCATGATTAGAGAAATTCAAACACTTGGGTTGATTAGGCACCGGAATCTGGTTAGATTGGAAGACTTCTGGTTAGGAAAAGACCACGGTTTGATATTGTATCGGTACATGCAAAATGGGAGCCTTTATGATGTTTTACATGAAATCAAACCCCCGCCAACTCTCAAGTGGAGTGTCCGCTATAGGATAGCGCTTGGAACTGCATATGGGTTGGAATATCTCCATTATGATTGTGATCCCCCTATAGTGCATCGAGACATCAAACCAATGAACATCCTCTTGGACTCTGACATGGAGCCCCATATCGGTGATTTTGGTATTGCGAAACTTTTGGATCATCAGTCTTCTGCAGCAACATCCATCGCAGTTGTGGTACAACCGGATATATTGCACCAGGTAATTCTTCTGGTTTATTTTCGATTCAGAAATGTTTGTACATTCATGCACTTAATGAACTAAAGTATTTTCCGTGGTTTGTTACAGAAAATGCATTTCGAACAGCAAAGAGCGTGGAATCTGATGTGTACAGTTATGGGGTTGTTTTACTTGAGCTGATAACAAGAAAGAAGGCATTGGATCCATCATTTATGGAGCAAACTGACATTGTAGAATGGGCTAGGTCAGTGTGGAGCAGCACGGAACAAATTGATCAGATCGTCGATTCAAGCCTTAAGGAGGAACTTCTGGATTCAAACATCATGGATCAAGTTATTGACGCTCTTATGGTGGCTTTCAGATGTACTGAGAAAGATCCGAAAAGAAGACCCACAATGAGAGATGTGATCAAGCAATTGTTAGATGCAGATTCCAAAGTGAGAAGCATAAAGGGCTAGCTTTTTAACTTTCCCAGATCGATTATTGTAGCCTGTATATTTAATCTGCTTTATACCGGGTGTAATCTTAGTGGATAGTGATGCATCTGTAAACATGTGCAATGTAGGTTAGATTTATGGAATTCACTTCAAGTACTCTCTCTCTCTCTCTCTCTCTCTCTCTCCCTCCCCCTCTCCCTCACCCTCTCTGGCAACTTATATGGAATGGGTTCATTGCCACTTGACATCCTGGTCCAATAATATTGTGTTGTATTGGATGGGATGTCACGATAACGGTGAACCTGTTCCATATAATGACCGAGGCAGAGTGAGGAGAAGAACTTATTTGAGACTATTGAGTCGCAAAAGTAGGACATGAGTGAACAAAATCTTTTCAAGCTTTTCTGAAGTGTGGACGTCAAATTGGGCAGATTTAAAAGAGCCCGGGATCTTCACAGAAAGCGCATATTAGTGTGATCGTCACACCGGTGATCGAAATGAATGATATTTCATGGACGTAGAGTATTAGTAACGAATTCTCTCGGATGTTGCTAATTCTAAAAGGAATGCAGTATACCGTACGGCATATTATGCACATTGGAATGTCATATTTTCTCAATGAAAAGAAAGTACACTCGAACAAAGAAACAGATCTTCCATGAGAACGACTGCCCATGGCTCCATCAAACAAAACATTATTCACATGAATTCGGGGTTTCGACGACATCAATACAGATTCTGGGAATCCACCCGACCTTGTCTAAGAATAATACAAATTTTGTATTCCGATCAAACAATTGCAATCAACAACTTTACAAACTCAAATCATTCAAAAGAATTCCTAGCCTTGTGACACGAAATGTCATCCCTACAGAAAAAAAGCAAGGAAAAAGGATGACGGAAACTAAAAATGGTAAACAAAAATTATTATATTGGAGGGGAAAAAGAATTCTAAAGGATACAAGGATAGTTCTCTATCTAATTTACAGAGAGATGAAACTTGATGCGCCTCAGGAACTCCCGTGAGATCTAACAGATGAGATTGACTGTGCCGAAACAGAGGCGGTTGGGCTACTAAGATCCCGATCACCGTTCACAGCTTTTGGTTTTCCACTTAATCTTTCAATTGCGTCTTGACAGACTTCATTGAACCATTCATCTTCCGGAAGCACACTGAAACAAAATTTAAAACTCAGTATAAGTTATATCAACGGCTCAAAAGCAGTACAATACGTCGTGCAATCACAGCAAAATTAGAATTACTTATAAGGATAAAAGTGTCCAGCACAAATAGATGGGTGTCGTACTGGAAGGTTTTACACAACTTCTTTACGACAGGTGTTTTACGTTTATACACCTACATGTATGCATGTATATTATCGTTGATGAAAAATGAGCAACCTAAATGAAGTAACATACCTATTGGGATCCATGCCAGTTGCAGAAAATGCTGCCATGGCTTTAGATATGATTTCGTTAATAGCTCGATTCAAATTTCGAGATAGGTAACGACTTTGAGAAGCAAAGAGTATGACAAACTTCATATCCAGATAGAACTGCACACAGATGAAACAAGTTAATATACAAGTGGGTGTTCAATGAGGAGACTCCCCAAAATTAAGACGGGAGAAGACAGCTATCATGTATAGAGTATGAGTTCTTGTTAGGACCCTTTTAATGTTCTTTAGTATCTGGTCACCATTTCCTGTAATCTGCATTATTTCCTCACAATTGCTTTAGATTCAATAACGATATTAAGGTTACGTTTCTATTTAGGATCAATATCATCACAATGTTGTAGGCACCAAATGTTAGGTTGTATAAATTATCAGTTAGTAAAACTGGGCATCCGCATATCATCACGAAAGGCCAGGCTACAAAATACTTAGTATCCTGATATAAGGGTAAGTCATTTTCATGTTTGATAGGTTGGAGATATAGTTGCAGCACGGAAAGAGAGTTACGTAAACAACTAGAGCTATCACAGTTGCAGGCCCGACTCTCCCTCCCTCACAAAATATACCAATCCAAGATTTTTCCTTCCATCCTCTTTTCTTTGTTTCTACATGTGAGATCTTTGATTACTTTCTTTCTTTCTTGTATGATATAGTTCCTTCTTACGTTGCAAAAGTAGGAATATCCCTTCACATGATTATGACTATGTGTTTCTTATTGCTTGTAGGTGTAAGCTTTGGGTTGTTATATTGGATTCACAACGACGGATGATCAAAAGAAACACAACAAAAGACAGTAAATTAGATGGTGTGACCGGAAATTACGTACTTGTTGTAAGCCAAGAGGACCTAAAGGTGGCCCATCCTCAATATCATCCCAAAAGCTCTGGTCTTCCGAAAGCCACAGTATGACAGTTTCTGTTAGTCTCATTAGAAGCAATGTAGCAAACCTTTCCCTGCCTACAAACATTTCTGCGGCTATACTGGCCATTCTGTTTAGTTTTACAAAAAGTTCCTGAATTCGGAAAAGTTAACAAAAGAAAATTAGGACTTGAAAAAGACAATAAATAAAGCACGTAAATAGTTTAAAATACTCAGGATCTTATACTCCACAAAAAAGTTGAATATGCATATACATTATACACATATAAAAGCGGAAATATCATATGACCCTCAGAACTTTTTGGTCAATTCTCATGTTCTCGCTTACAAATTGAACAATAATGAACAAGAAGTATAAGTATGAATCACGTAAAGACGGCATGCCACACCTGATAATCTTCATGTGACCATATCACTTAAGGTAATTAGTCCAATTTCAAGGTATCATGCAAGGAGACATGAATATAAAAATCTACAGTGTTCAGAAATATTTTTCTAATACGTTTTTTTTTGTGTTGAAATATTTTAAAAATAAGTTTAATTGCCATACATGTGTAGCCTATATATGTAGAATCTCTCTAATGAGTAATAATAGAATGGCACTTAAAGCACAGGCAACGATTGACAGTATTTTTGGTAAGAGAACTTTCAAGTCATGGTATGGGGAAAAAGGATAAACTTAAAATAACAAAAATATATTAATGTATACATGAATACCGATGTTAGTTATACAAGACATAAAATATATATATATATATATATTACACACACACACACACACACACACACATATATATATATATATATATATTAATAGACAACACTCATTATATATCAGACATTTGTTTTATAACAACTTTGACATCCTCCAACAAGAAGTTCAGCAACACAAGTCACAAGGGGAGGTCCTATTAAATTTCCTTAACCCTTTCTTAACCATAGAGGACATCAACGAGGGAATTAAACATGCAAAGCAAACTAGCAGAGGAACATTTAGAACTGAGTAGCACCAACTGTGAATAGCATGATGTCTAAAAAGAAGGAAAAGAAATGAGTCCAAGCAGAAATTATGCCGGACAAAATCATTATTCAGCATACCTGGAATATTAAGGATGGGAACCAATCAACCTCTTCCACATTCGCGTCCATGTTTATGTACATATCAGCAGTAAGATGGCTATCACCATCCTCTGTAAAAATGAGATCTAGAGCATGCTGACGACAGAAACTATCTTTTAATCTATCAACCGAGCTGACAAGCCGCCTCTTCCACTCCCTTTGCTCAGGATGCCGGTTTTGCCTATCTGATGATCTTCTACGTAGATCATCCCTGTAAGCAACCTGATTCAGTGGAGACAGCTTCATGGCTGCGCGTGGAAGCAGTTCCTCTGCTAATAAGGATGCATTTGCCAGCAAAGCAATCTGTTGGGCTTCATTCTCAGCTACACTGACAATTTTATTCCCAGAACCTTCAAAGTTTGCTTCTTCCTCCATTGAACCCGGTAATGCTTTTATAAGCATGTTCACATATGAATTAAATACTTGGAACAAACCCTCCAATGTCTGACCGCCCAACTGCATACTGAGCAATGGTCCTACATCCTCAAAGAAATCCTGCAAGATCAGGTAATCTATGAGGCCACAATAAAATAAGGGATCGCATACAACTACACAGAAAATTGATTAATTGATTTTATGCGGTAGAAAAATGATTTACCTGGACCATGAAATTGAACCGATGTGCACTACTTGTAAGCTTATGTTGGAACGCTGTCATATTACCGAGGGATGAAGGCCTGCCAGGTTGCCGTGTAGCAGTTGGAGCATATGTAAGTACCCAGTCATCAGCAGCAGCTAAGGCAGCAGTGCTTTCCTCGATTCTTTTTAAATTAGCGTCTAGTGCTTGTTCAACACTAGGCCTAAAGAGTTTCAAAAGTACAGGACAAAGTGCCAAACCACGAGCTTCCAACAAGGAACAATGCCCTAATGCTATTTGAACACACTCTGCAGCAGCTCGTAACCCCCCAGCAGCAGCTGATGAAGCTAATGCATGTCTTTTAGTAAGAGAGGCAAAAGCCTCGGTTTGGTTTATTGCCCACATCACAAGCTCAGAAGTATAATTTGGTTCCTTGCCAAATATCGCTGACGAATCACTGGCAGCTTGAGCAATAGCAGAGAACACCAACTGTGAGAGTGCAGCAGTATAAGCTCCTCCATAAGAGGTGCTTGATGGACGAAGGCTTTGCATATTATACTGATATCTTTGGAAATGTGCATTGAGCAGCAAACTGTGTGCACGAGGGCCATCCCCAAGCCTTTTCAGTGCTGAGATAGCTGCACGAAGTTCACCACCGCGCGTAGAAGGCTGGCAAGCAGCCTCAGCAAGCTGATCAGCTAACCTTTGCCTGCGTTCAACAATGGAAGTCTGCAGAGACATGAGCAAAGCTTGATCCAACATCTTCAGTTGTTTTGCTTCAGCAGCCACACGTTCACCTTCATCTAGGGCATCTAAAGCTTCATCCACTCTCCTTTCCGCTAATAGAACATCCAAGAGATCAGGAAATTCTATTAACCATTTCTCCAGGTCTGTAGGATCTCTATCTTCAAAACTTAATACACCATTTTCACTAGTACCTTCAGGAACAGATTTAGATAGGGAATCGATGTTTACTCCCTCAGCTAGACCATGAATCAAAGCAGCTTGAGTGGATAGCAGGTTTCTGATAGAGGATAGCTCCCCCTCCAAATCTGATATCTCTTTGGAGGTGCTGTGAGTAAGAAATACAATTTACGTAAAATCCAAATAGCACTCGATGAATAATTTTTATCAAATGGAATGACTCAAACTGACGATTAACTGGCTTAACCTTCCAATAGAATTTGAAAATTGCATTCAAGTAAACAGAGTTGACCAGACCAAGAGGTAGACAAGAACGGAAATTTCTAATAACAAAGCAAAAAAATGAAAAAATAAGTCCTAGTTTAAGGACATAAACAATCACATTGACTGACTGTTTTGGCACCAAACAACCGTGGGTATCATATTTTATCAATTGGATCATCTAAAGAAACAAGAACAGAAATTCTAATAACAAAAACGGAAACATAAAAAAAATAAATGAAAGTTTAAGGAGATATACAATCACCTTGACTGTGACTACATTGGCACTAAAACTACCATGAATACCAATTTTTAACAATTGTATAAAGCAACAATAAACAAACACATACAAATCCAAAACGTTTTAACTCATAAAAGAAAAAAAATTACAATTACTATAATCTGCACCACATACAAGTAACATTTTGTATCTCAAGTTTAATTAGTCTAAACTCCGAAGAGTTAAAAAATACGTCGGTAAGCTGGAATACTATGACATAAACACAGCAGCAAAATCCAAACTACCAAGAGAATGGCCATGCAACCACTTGAAACAGGTGAAATTTTATATTTTGTGAACTTGGTCTAAACTCTAAATAGCCAAACGAGATTTTCTTTTACTTTTTAGTTAGAGCTGGAAGTGGTGGGATATTGTACAAAGTACATTTTAAAACTAAAGAATCGCACTATCCAAATCATGCGTAAATCAAATGTATCAAGCTAGGCAACCCAAATCCCCAAACATATACTAAGCATTACCAACAAGCGAAGGGAGTGCTGTTATTGCGAAGCACCTCAGAATATAAACCGGTAAAGTTGCATATACACTATGAACTCATCAATTTGTCACATTAACCATCTAAAGAAAACTCACCGTATGAATGCTGAATAGTTAGCATAGACACTTCTACGCATTTCCTCTGCGGAAGCTCTTTTCAAGTCCAAAAGATATGAACATAATTGTCTTATATCCTGCAAAAGATATGAACATAATTGTCTTATATTTAACTTGTATCCCTTACGATTCCGCAATTTTGAAAATTCGAACTTCATAGCATCTCTCGGAATTGTTTCAAGAAACCAAATTCTACAATTAAACAAAGATAGAATTCCATTCCATCATCAATTCAAGAATCCTGAAAGTTCGTTCTTTCACTTTCCCATGGTTTCTCAGCAACCAAACAGCATAAAATATACAACATCGAGCACAAAAAACAGGCATACATACACCAACATATATGTGTGTATGTAATGTATATATGTATATGAATAGAAGAAAGTGACCTTCTCGTTGAGGGAGCATCGTGACTGGACGTAGCTCTGGGAATCGAACTTGTCAGACTTGAAGACATTGAGGCCTTCCTCAAGCTTGACGCCGTTCTCTTTAACCGGCGTGCCTCTCGACCGGGCCATCTTCGCCGAAGCCATGAATCGCCGGACAGATCAGATCAATCAGCTGAACCAGCAGCTCCGAAATTAGGGATGCGGGGAGCAAACGGGCGACCGATCCGGCGAGGGCAAAAAGGGAATTGCAAAACTATTCGCCGGTGGAAATTAGGCCATGGAAGTTGAGCTTCCGAACCAAGCGAAGAGAGAGAGAGAGAGAAGTGCTCACGAAGCGTGTTCTGGTGAAGAGAGAGAGAGGAAACGGGAATGTGATGGAGGGACGGTTTGGTTTACTGGCTCCAGTTGTGCACTTACTACATCTTTGTATAGTTTTTTTGGGATTTTTTTTACCTAAAAACAAAAGGATAGTTCTTGATTTACTTCAATCGACACCATTATTACAATCTACAGTTTAATGCTATCTATTTAAGTAAGCAAAAAGTTTTAAGTTTAGTTCTCGTTAAATCTTGTTTGATTTAGGACTACCGTTATTACAAATACGTAATTATTGTGTGACGTATTTTTCTACATTTGTATTATGTAGAGTTTTCACACAAATATTCATAAAATTGAGTACATGTCCAGCTAAACCAATGATGGAAGAAATGACTAACTTCGGCTTTAAAACATTTAAAACATGATTATTCTTCTTGGTCAAACACTTTAATCATTTCTTAGTTCAATTAGGTTTGTCAACCAGCTGTTAAATACAAATGATATTGTCACTTAGTACTACGATTTAGGAGTATTTCTCTTCACTTATATTTGAGAAGTCATATATTCAATTCTTGCAAAAGACGAAAGTGAACTATATTATTGCTAGTCATTGTGAGACTTAACTCACTTTCTCACCCCTTAATATAGATAATATTTGTTCAAAAACAAAAATTACACGCGATATTACTAGTTCTAATCTACACTAAGACAAGGATAATGGTTTGAACTACAAAAACAGAGCCGCTTGAACAAAAAAACTCTAATCACCGAGCCAATCTGCAATACACAAATTTTTTATATAAAAATATACTAAATATCTATAAAAAAAATAAATAAATAAATCATCACTGGAGAAAGGCTAGCTGTCTCAACCAACAACAGCGCTCAGGCTTTTTTTTTTTTATTTATTATTATTTTTTTTTTTTTTTTGGAAATAATGGAATATTGTATTGCAAAATCCTTATCCAAAATAAAATAAAGAGGGAACAACTATGTTGCATGCCAAGTGCTACCCTACTGTATTATACAGGCTGTGGCTGTGCTGCTGCTGCCGTGGTTAGATTCCCCCTCCATCTCCATGCATTTCTTTTTCTTTTTTCTCTTTTTTCTTAATTTTTATTTATTTATTTATTATGTTTGAGTAATTAAAGTTGTATATTTTTTTATGTTTGGTAGAAAGTAGTTTGGTACTTTACTAGTTTATTCCCGTTCGATGCATCACCACCACCATAGTGGTTGGGGAAGCATATGCCTTTGTTGGTCCACACCTATCTCAAAATTTTACTTTCGAATATATATACATCAGAGTATCATAAATTTTATTTCTTTTTTCAAGTTATGAAATATTATGCTTCGGTAAAAGAAGAGATAATATTACAATAATCTACAGCGTTACATAAGCTCGTGTCAACTTCTGTCAAAATTAAATTATAAGTCTTCTAGGGAAAAAATAAATGCAAAATAATTTATGAAAGGTTATTATCGTAACCGCAACCAGTGAGGGATGTATGATGGGGCCAATGTCCGTCCTAGGGCCATTCGAAGCCTGGAAAAATATAGATGTGAAGGTCTTTTAAAGACTCTCAATGTTTGGTATTCATCTATTTTATGCCCACCAAATGTTGGATGTAATGACTATTAGGCATATTATGATAGCACTCAAGAGGCTGAGTCAAGAGCACTTGTCAAATTCCCTCAACAACAACAAACTCACCAAGCGTTTGATGAAATGCTACAATGAATAAATAAACTGAATTTTTTATGTTCACGTCACGCTCTATTTCTATTTAAAAACTCACTGACCATACCCGCAAACTCAGAGCAGACCAACAGCCGCCAGCTAACTACTCTTATCAACTTTTGGACAAAATATCATACTCGGAATAATCATCATATTAAATTGTGAAATATTAACTTATTTTGATTATTTGTAAATTATTGACATAAAAGTTCATATCTTATGTGTTATTGATTTGTGTACAACTCCTCTGAGATAGCCGAAGAAGAGGGGAAAGCTATGATATGGTAAGTCAAGAGAAATTAATTAATTCCAAGAGGGTACTTGTGGTGATGATTATTGGTGCTAAATTGCTAATTAAGCTGATCATCTAGGCATTCCTTCTTACCTTAGGACTAATGACTCCAATTATGATGGCTCATCCTCAGTTATGCCGTCGCCAAACTGTAGCGAGTGTGAGTAGATATGTCGCGTTATACAGATTTAGTAAAGTGCGTTTGTCACATTGGTGGCTGAATCGGAGTTTAATCTATGGTTGGTTGCGCGTTATACTCTCCAAATCTTATGTTGAGATAGGCCGTTTGGATTGCTTATGCATGTGCAAGTATAGACAACCGCACAGGATCATCTGGGATGAGGATGTATCAGTACTACGTATGTTCTTCAAAATTTACGGACCGATGTAAATATCGCCCGCAAAGTGATACATTCGGATCTTCGATTTGTTCGGAAAAGAAACGAGGGACGAGAAAACAACTAATTTCAAAACGCACCTGTTTTTCGAAACAACGGAGTACAGCTTGTATCCTTTGGCCGATGCGAGAAATGCAATTTGACATTTGGTCACATACATTACGCTACAGAATAACCAAGCACTTCATCAGTGTCGATTACATTATTATAGCAGAAAGATCATGCAGAAACACAGATCACATCTATCAATTGACAACAAAAACAAAAAAAAAAGCATCTGTGTAACGCAAGCGCATGAGCAATTCTTCATCTCCCTCAACTCATGCTTCGGGTGTATCCGTACGAACAGCTGTTGAGAAAACACAAAACACCCATGAGAATACTGGCTTGGCGGGATAAAAATTCGGTTTACAAAGTTCAAAAATCAAATTTCCATGCAAATGTATACGTATTTATCAAATACAAATACGAACAATTACATTCACGTTGTTAAAATTCTAACCCATCAGAAATTACAAAAATTTAAACAAAAGGATTATTAACAATCCTTCTGAATATCTATAATTTCAAAAGAAAATTGTATTTTCTTCATTCGATGACAAATCAAGAAAAAATCGACCCTCATAAATTAGGATGACTTTGAGAAAACACACAGCATGAACAAATAAAATCTAAATCCAAAATTTCATATTTCAGCACACCAACAATCCACAGTGGACATTTGATTTGATAACATACAACATAACGATAACAAGCATACCAAGTCACAACTTTAACATGTAAAAAACCCACAACAGAAATCCCAGAATACAAGATATTAGAGCCTGGCAAGAAAGCCTTGTTTCAAGCACATTCCATGTAACATAAGAAGCCCTCCTTTGAGCATAATAAGGCAGATTGTGCCTAAATAGTGTTTCGGAATCCTTACATGTTATAAAAGAATATACATAGGCATGCTATAAGCCTATAAGAAACAATATTATGCGGACGAGTTCCTTCCAATCATGAGTTGTAGCCCAATGGGACCCAACTTCTGCCCTCCCTCTTCTGAGGGATTTGTTCTCGGTTTAATTCCTTATATGTTGGCAGGCAGGTGAACCCAAAGAGGAGTTCCTCAGGCACAACTAACCTAAAGCAACACAGCTAAACTGAAAATATAGAAGGATTGCAATTTATTGTCCAACATAAGCTGAGATGACAAACTACACAAGGTATACTGTTCTACTATCCAACACTCCGACGCTTAGGGGTTTAGGAGTGTCCGTGCAACATCAACGATAATCCCCCGCAAGTGCAGTCCTCATATTACCTTAATGGTATCATAAGGAAAATACAAACATTTGCAGCTGCTAGAAAGGGTCCAAATTGTTTTTAAAACTGAACAAATGGAGATACATTCCCACGGAAGCTAGTCATACGGTGCAAAGTTCAGAGATACATTCTCAGTTCACAAACCTCAACTCTGAAACTTACTAACACAAAGCAAGCGATCACAACAGGTTTTCTTCGACGCAGGCGCTTTTAGTCGTGACAAAATCCAGATTCATCTAAAAGTTAACACCTTTGACAATTTCAAAAAATCTTAAACTGGAAGAAAACTCATGAACCTAAATAATCTTCATTCAACCAAATGCATTTTCACCACTACTCGCTACACCAAAACAACAAAACTTTCATCTGAGCCACTCATTTCCATCACACCAATTACACAACCCAACATTGCAAATTGAATTCCATCAGCCCATCACAAAATTAAATCTCATTTAACCAGACAACCCCAAAATTTCACTCCATCAGAGAAAAACCCCGAATCCTAACCGCACAGATTGAAATCAACGACTAACAACGATCAAAATATGAGATTTTTAACATCAAAATCAACAAGAAATCACAGAAATGAAGATCGGAAATCCGAAATATAAATGAGGGGATGAGCTTACTGGGCTTCTCAGGCTTGCCTTCCGCCCACTTGGAGACGGCGAAGTGGACCCTCTCGCGGGAAATGGCTTCGGTCTTGTAAGGCTCCTTGAGGCAATTACGAACCAGATTCGCACAGATGTTGGAGTAGGTGATGTAGGTCATACCGGCTGCGCGCCAAAACGGTGCCGCTGCGTTCGACGCCATTGTCTTTCTCTGGTTTCGCTCTCTCTGTGTGTCAGTCAAAGTGACCTAGACGAAGCTCCCCTTTAATTTGCAGTGGTGGTTAAATCCCAAATGGGCTTTGTTTATGGGCCTTATCGAGTTTTATGTTAATGTGAGGCCATTAGAGAAGGCCCAATTATATGAATAAATCTCTGTTAATTCTAGTAAGGCTATCTTCAACCTAAAGGTGGAAAAATTCCAAATCTTAGCCCTGTGTTTTAAGCTATTCATCTATATGCATGAGGTTAGACAAGTTTTTCCTCCAACGGTAAGGGATCTATAATTTCCACCCCTAACTTTATAATTTTAGCCCCGTATTTACCATAACATTCAAAACTAACCGTTGGATTCCAATGGTCAAAAAATCCGAGTCACAGAATAAAGATTTGTTGGAATGGATTGTAGTTGGGGCGCCACACTTATCACAACCCAAGAACGCGCCTCAACTACTAGATCTCAACTGTAAGACAATCTCAGCTGTAGAAAGTGTGGAATCTGTGCGCTCACCCGTAGCTGATCTGTCCACACTGAGGAAGCAGAAGCACGAGGCCCACCTCTGTCTAGTGAGTTATGTGATGCTGCTGCAATGGGGGTCCCATGATCCACTTGCTTTCTTATCTATTTGAGGTGGATAGTGTCAGTGCAAATTTCCGCGGTCTTCGGTTTTGACGAAAATACACCTGCAAGACAATTAACATCTTTGATCAAGGACCTAAGCCTGACGCGCCCACTAGGTGGGGGGGGGGGGGTTAGGCCGATGGATCTCCGATGCCTAAGTCAGTTTCTCTGAGGATAATAAAGTGTTTATGGCTTTTTAGGGTTGCAAAAGCTTACCGAAATTTAGTAGAATGTAGGGTATTTATAGGGATAGGGCCGGCCATAGTGATAGGGTTTATGGAGAAATATTCTCAAGATATTACATAGGAAATAATATCTTGAGATAATAGAGTAATTATCCCTAATTGATTTAAATAGGAATTACTTTGATTGGAGTTAATCTTCAATTGGGAATGTATTAAAGATAGAATTTGGGTAATTAATCCTTATCTTTAATGCTTTGACTTTTCTTTGCCAAGGGCAGGTGAGCTGTGGGCAGTCATATTTAGCTGCTGGGACCTTCAGAAGTGTGAGCTGCACGTGAGAGCATCTGAGAAGCCTGCTCATTTATTAAGGGCAATCCTATCTTTCTTGGGCAAACGTCTATGTGTTGCCTTTATAATTTTTGGGATTATTTAAGGCTCCACAAATGCCCTCATACATGTTTGGTTGCACGTTGGAAAAAGGGCATTAGATGTAGTAATCCCAAGCTGCATAGGCTTGTAGAGTTGTTTTCTAATTTGAACTTGATCTTCTTTCTTTATTTAGAGATAGACTTCTTCTAGGAAAAAGAAATCAATTGTCCCCAATACCTATTTAATTCTACTTTAATCAGGGGATTAAATAAATTTGGAGAGCAATCATCATTCCAACAAGAAAGAGAAGCCAGAGGAAATTTTTCTTCCCCCTCCCCTAGCTTTCTTCTTCTCTTACCCTTGCAAAGAGTCGTCTCTCGTTGTAGTTCTTCTTCTCCGTGCCACACCAAGGTAAGAAAAGTTTGAATTTTCTTCTTCTTGAATTTTTTGGAAGTCTTGAGACTTGAAAAATTAGCTCAGCAGGGGCCGAGGTCATGTGGAACACGCGGCAAGGGTGCCACAGTGCTGTTGATGGTGCGAAGAAGAGAAACCAGCATGGGCCAGGTCTCTTCTGCTGACAGATTAGGCCGAATGGCCTTGGGCTTTATTGAAGAGCAGAGGAAAGTGAGAAAGGCATGAGGCACTCTCCCTTCTTCACTGGTGGATCGGGCTGCAAGCCTTTGAGTTGGCTTGGAGCGCTGGTATGGGACCATGTAAGCGTGAAGTGAGAGAGAGAGGAGAGATTGGCTCGGGCCAACTCTTGGGTCTTGGTGGCTTAGGCCGAGAAGCCTGGGCCTATCTTGGAGTGCTGAGCATGCGAAAGAGGAAGGGAAGAGGGAGGCGTGGGCCTCCTTCCACTTTGGGCTGGAACGGCTCGGACTGCGTGTTAGAGAAAGAGTGAAGGCTGGGCCTTTTTGTGGCCTGGGCATGTGGATGAGCTGGGCCATGGGGCTTGGCGCTAGGCTTTTCGATCATTCTTTAATTTAATTTTTTTTTTCTTCTTGCAAGTTGCCTTCTAAATATTTTTCTTCATACTTTTTGCAGGGACTTTGAGATGTCTTCCTCTGATCGTAAAAGTGATGAGTATCTTCCACCTTGGTACAGTCAAGGTGGTTCTTTCGTCAAGATGGGCTATTTCAAGGCTGCACATGTCAATATCAATTCCGATGAGCTATTTCAGGCTTTTCTTAAGGCGTACAAGCATGTGATTCTGTCTGAGGTTTACGTCAAGCGGGTGAAGGATAATAGCAACCATGAACCGTGTAGACGTTTTTCCTGGAATGTCCTGAGTGCTCGTCGGAGTGTAGAGCCAACCTCGAATGCACACTGACTCATAAGCCGAGTTAGGAATGAACATTTCTCTAGGCATCTAGAAGGGATAAGACATTTTCCCAGGGACCCAAATGAGAGTGGACACTACTCGAATGCACGGTTCGTAATGGGCTGAGTTGCTCTTTTCTGGGATGTCACTTGAATGAGTCACGTTCTTCCGCCCTTGTCATGTTTCGAGACACCTTATCTGGGGCGCCCTGCATCTCGATAAGCTCAAGGAGTTGGTTCACCAAGGTGGTCTACTGGGTGAGGGTGCTTGTCAAATTGGTTACCTAGAAGGGAAGGTGGTGCTCGCCATTCGGATTGGAAGAGTCTAGACAAATGGCTTCTCCATTTATGGTGGAAGTGTAGTGGACTGCAGGTACAAAACTTGAGCCCAAAGCAAGCATTCATTCAGAAAAGTAGGGTGAAAATAACCATGAATCGATTGCTGGACCGGTGGTAGAAATCTGGATCGTCGGAGATAGGCCTCGGATTGGATTGAGCCACGGGTCGGGTCACCGAAGTGGGTTGTGGGGCGAGCCAACCCGGTTATGAGGTCGGCACGTGTGTGGGGGCGTTAGGCTGGGGCTAACTCCTCACGGGCTTGGGCTTGGTTGATAGCTGGCTAGGCTCGACTGGCAGCTGGCTGGGCTTAAACCGTCTATCCGTAGGCCACTTCTACTGGTTGGGCTAGCTCTGCTGGGTTTTCGTAGGCATAGGCCTAGGCTTGGAGCAACTGAGCTCACTGGTTAGTAGTTGGGGGCTGCTGCAGTGGGTTGGGCCTCCTACCTTGGGTCTGTTATGGCAGCTGCCAAACCTTGGGCCTTCTACCCGTGGACTACCGTTTAGACCTAGGCCTCTAGCCCAGGGTTTTAAGGGTTGCGACGCTGCGAGAATAGCGATGGTGGAACTTGGGCCGTGGCTGCTGGGTCACGGTGGTGGTGATGGCGCAGATTCACAGCGGTGAAGCTTTTCCTGCTGTCGTGTTGAGCCTTGAGGATCTCCATCATGGGGCTATGTCTTCATCTACACTCTCCTGTCTAAATCCTTGTACGTATGGAGTAACCGTTCATTGTGGTTTCTAAATTTCCTACCATTGTATCATTTCCCCATGGATTGATCAATAAACTTTCTAGGAAAAATTAATTGATACGACGTGTGGGAAATTCAATGTAACATAAAATTCAAGAAACCAAATGCAAGAGGTTTCTTCGAGTATTTGAATCAGCTCTCAATGAAAACACCAATTTGTCAATGCAAATTTCCGTCGTCTTCGGTCTTGACAAAAATGCACCTGCAAAACAATTAACACCTTTAATCAAGAACTAAGCCTTATGCGCCCATTAGGTGGGGGTGGGTTAGGCCGATGGATCTCCGAGGCCTAAGTTAGTTTCTCTGAGGAGAATAAAGTGTTTAGGGATTTTTAGGGTTGCAAAATCTTACCAAAATTTGGTAGAATATGGGGTATTTATAGGGATAGACCGGCCACAATGTTAGGGTTTATGGAGAAATATTCTGAAAATATTAAATAGGAAACAATATATTGAGATAATAGAGTAATTATCCCTCATTGATTTAAATTAGGATTAATTATTTGATTGGAGTCAATCTTCAATTAGGAATGTATTAAAGATAGGATTTGGATAATTAATCCTTATTTTTAATGTTTTGACTTTTCCTTGCCAAGGGCAGGTGAGCTGTGGACAGTCGTATTCAGCTGCCGGGACCTTCAGGGGTGTAAGCTGCGCTTGGAAGCATCTGAGAAGTCTGCTCATTTATTGAGGGCAATCATGTATTTCTTAGGTAAAAGTCCACGTATCGCCTCTAGAATTTTTAGGATTATTTTAGGCTCCACTGACAACAACCCCAAATTCCCACCCCAAAATATATGCCTTGGAGAGGCTTTGAGCCCAAATTTGGTTTTTTATATTTTCCACCCTTCCCTTGGTTCGATTTAGTCCCCAAACTAGTAGCAAATATGAACCAAAACAATCGGTTTAATGATCACTTTGGTTTGCTTATTTCATTTCATGTAATCAAGCAAAGATTATTATCGCCACTTAATACTATGGTTTAGTGGTATTCATCTTCATATGTAAGTTAGAGGTTTTAGATTCGATTCTCTTCCAAAAATGAATTTCAACCACATTATTGCTACCCTATTGTGAGGCTAAGCTAATCCCCTCCCTTTTAATATAAATAATATCGTTTGTTAAAATAAAAATAAAAATAAAGATTATTATCAAATGGGATTTTGCACCATAAATGAACAATAGTTGCAAAAATTGCTTAACATTGAAGACGGAGAAATCGAGAGAGAGATATGACGTTATATTAATAATTACGTTTTGTTTATTTTATTTTATTTTATTTTATTTTGTATTAAATGATTGATGTCAATGCAAGAAGTAATAACCATTCAGAGAATTTCATTCATGGAGATAAATAAGATTTCCTCCTTATTAGTGTTGATTTGCTACCAGTAATACTGCATTAAGAAGATCCCAATGATCCGAATAAAGTGGCAGGCTGGCAGCTGGCATTGGGTGGGATATGTAG